TACTCGGCCCGAGCTAGCGTCCTACTGATATCAACCTTTATTTCCTGTAGCTTAGTGGGTAGAATGGTACGTGCTGCAGGTGATATAATGTGGGGATGGAATATCTTGTTCTTTACTCTCTGCTTGTATGGATAGGATGATGGAAAAGGGAAAAGAAGGAAACAAAGGAAAATCAGTAACGTCTAGCTATGATCATGATGTATGTCATTTGTTTTTTCTCTTTTTTTCTTCTCAGTTGAATTCAATCGCTTTGATTTGGACAAAATTATGGTACACACTTGATAAGCGCCGTACCACTGCTCCCCAACCTCGGATCCCTGCTCTGTACCATAAATTCATGGTAGACCCTTGTACCAGTAAGCAGATCCATCCCCTACCGGTACTCCACTCCAACTCCCCCTCACCCACCACCGCCAACGGCCACCACAATAAAAGCTCCCTCCGAACTCTGTAACCAACAAATCACCCTCCAAAAATAATATAACCCCAACAATGTCCTTCGCAGCAGCAAACAAACGCCTCCTAAAAGAATACAAAGCCCTGCTGAAGGAATCCCCGGAAGGCATCGCCGCCGGGCCCATCGACGAATCCAACCTCTTCGAATGGGAATGCTTAATCCAAGGTCCGGAGGAGACTCCATTCGAAGGCGGGGTTTTTCCCGCTACGCTCAGTTTTCCAAAGGTATGTAATGTATCTACCAGGCAGGGGCGGGCGGAAAGAGAAAAAAAAGATCAGAACCAATCTCTACCCAATTACTCGTGTACAAACAAAACAAGAAAAGGAAAAAGAAAATCTCTACTCCAGCCAGCTAACTAAGATATATACAGGACTACCCCCTTAATCCTCCCAAGATGAAATTCACCTGCGAAATGTTCCATCCGAATGTGTACAAGGACGGCACCGTGTGCATCTCAATACTACACTCTCCCGGTGACGACCCGAACCAGTATGAGGATGCCAGCGAGCGTTGGTCGCCAATACAGAGTGTTGAGAAGATACTCATCAGCGTCATGAGCATGCTTGCAGAGCCGAACGACGAGAGCGGCGCGAATATTGACGCTTCCAAGATTTGGAGGGATGACCGAAAGGAGTATGAGAAGAGGGTTAGGGCTTGTGCGAGGAGGGCATTGGGGCTTTTTTAATGTTTTCCATTTTTCATCTGCTTTGTGGGGTTGTCGTAGTAGAGTGGGTGGGGATGGGGGAAGAGTGAAGAAATGCTGAGCGGCATGGATGGGTGTAACGGAATAACAAGGGAATTGGGGAGTTTTTCCTTCTTTTTCTACCGGAGGCATTGGTTATCTGTATGCTCGATGGGATGGGGCAATACAATTAATAACAATTCTTCTGCGTCCAACTTCTGTGCGCGAGGTGGGAGCGTCGATAACTTACAGTACGACTAGCCAAGTCGAATGCACTATCCCCAGCCGTCAACCTCGTCCTCCATATCCACCACCTCGACATCCCCATCAACCTTGTCCCTCATCGCACTCATAAACTTCGTCGAGGTAACCAATGGGGCATACATGCTATCGAGCATCGTCCTAGGCCCCAGCTCCGAATCCCTCATGGACACCTTCTGGCACTTAATCCAGCAAATCTCGATGCCAGCCATGTACCAGACCAGCCCCCTCTCCCCTCCCCAACCCGAGTAGGCTGCGGAGGCCCTCAGTATAGCCCAGGGCGTGAAACTCGCGCCACCCTCCCTAATCCACCTTGCGACAACCGGATCCCGGGCCTGCTCCGCGGGCGGCATGATGTCCCGATAACGCTGGAGAAAGTTGGGCACTCCAGCCCTGAATTCATCCGGCCCACCACGCTTGTTGCGGATCCAGTCGGCCCAGTCCTGCCTTAGCAGCGTCAATTCCTTCGTCAAGTGCCGCAGCGTGATCCACAATGGACTCGTCTCGTCCTTTTGAGCAAACTCGTGTTCCCGCACGAACAATTCCACAATGTCACCATCGCGCTGGCCCTCAGATTTGCCGATGTCGTCGTGGAATGCCTGCTGCTTCTCATTCACTTTTGCGTCGGCGACTTGGAACAGCCGGTCGACTATATGAGTGGCCCCCGCACGAACTCTCGAACCTTTTTCCTTGTACGCTGGTATGGGTGCCCCAGAAAATTTTCTCCTTATCTCGTCGACCTTCCCGGGCCTAAGGCTCATGCCCTGCTTCGGTGCGTCAACAAGTAGTGAACATAGTTTCGCCAGCTTGAGCGCTTCGAGGTCGGCGATGTCGTTCTTCTCGTAGCAGCGCTTTTCCCAGATAGAGGTGCACTGTCCAAGGAAGTTGTCATTGAATGAGCTTCGCAGACCTATCTGTAGGAACCGCTCAAAGAAGCCGGGTTGGCTAGGATTCAGCCCGGAGACCCTCGTTTGCGATTTGTTGAACCAAGGGGCCACCATCGCATCAACTTCAACATACGTGGTGGGACTATTGGTGAACGGTTTTACCAGGCGTTCCTCCCAGCACACCCAGGGCTGTTTTGATCGGCATCATAATTAATAACACATCATTACTAAGGAAAGCGGGAAGTTGCAAACCTTATCTCCATCGTAATCACCTCCTGACAAAAGCGAGGCCAGACTTTGATCTCCTTGAGTGGAAAAAACAATCACATCCTGCAGTTCCCGGAGCGCTAGAGAATGGTAGGGTTGGATATCTACGGCTTTCACCTGGTTCCGTTAACTAACACAGATAGACTACGTAAACATCGAATGAGAATATCATGATCCATACCTTCTGAATGTCGGAGGGAATGTGCGCGGGGTTGCGCGCGACCAATATGTCGCCGGTAATGACCTGAGTCCGCCTCAACGTCTTTGGATCGAGGAAGCCGTTCGAAAATCTTAGCGAGACTTCCCCCTCCCTAAGGGTTCCGGTAGGATCCGCGACACAAAGGAGGGTCGTGGAATGCGGGATCCTAATATGAAGTTTTTCCTTCAATTCCTCGCAATATTGGTCTATCATTACCCTCACATGGTCCATAAGAACCCTGCAAGAACGGACGAGGAAGCCGCTCTACGACGGGTTAGCCTGAATTGAATAGCTTAGCGCCGTATATCTCATTGTGCATACCTCGAGCAGTAGAATCGCCATCTCATGCTTTGTGGAGGGCATGCTTCCAGTGACCTGGATACCATTAAATGATATCCTCGCTCTCCCTACGCTTCCGCGGTTGTAGATCCATTTCCTAAGCTCAACTGGTTTATCGATCACCTGGAACAGCTCGTCCAAGTCCTCTTCCAAATGCTCCTCTGTCAATTCTTTCAACGCCTGGAAGGGCACACCACGATTCTCAAGGATAGGAATCAACTGGATGTTGATGGTGGCGGGTCTAGGCTCGTGAGAAATGTGGAGGATGTCCAGGGTCATCCTCGCCCAGTCTTGGTCGTCTGCGTAACCGCTGTACTTCAATTGTGAGTCGGTTACTTTGATGAAAATTTCATCTGAGCTCCAGTCAATGCTAGGGTCAATCATCCAGACCCCTTTCGCTCCGCCAAGACGCGCTTGGACTGCCGTGGGAGTCTCATGCAGGTCAAGAATTCTGCGTATCTCCTGCATGACCTTTGGCGACACGACGGAGCACCCGTCATTCATAACCTCGCCAGTTGTAGACTTCATATCCCGCACTATCTCAACCTGGGAGGGTTCAAATTTAAAGGAGGGCACCGCAGTCGAGAATCCTTTTCTATGTTAGCACTATCAAGTACAAGTGAGAATCGCATACTCACCCAGGCTTATCCTGGACCAGAACTTGGGGACGGTGACATCTTCATTCCCTTCCAGAGGAATATGCCACTTGAGCAAGTCCTCCACACTCATCTCCCGTCTAATTTTTCTATCCAGCCCACGGAACCCTAGCCTAGCCATCTCATCCCTATCATCCCCGATACCCACACCCGACGTTGCGAACAGGACAGCCTGCACAAAGGTTTCATTGATGAAGGCCTTCTCGTCTTCCAGGGACCGCTTTCTTGACTTTCCCTCCTTCGCGTAGAAGCACCTCCACTTCCGATTGGCCAGCTCAATCTCCTCATTGACAAGCCAGTCTTCAACCCTCTGCGCCACCATACCTCCGGGGGTTGAGCCGTTCTGCCCACGGCTGGTCAAATCCGGCAGACGTAGGGTCAAGAACCTATCTGACCCAAATCGGTTGAAGAATCGATTTCCAGTGGATCTACCCAGAGGGTTTAACTGGATATCAAAAGCAATATCCTCCAGCTTTCGTGCCTTCGGATCCTTTAACGAGACCCTGCCTGTCATGTACAGCTTGTCTGTCCAGCCTGTTCGACCCTTGTACCCCCTCCAAGCCGACTCCGCGCTCTTTTCCAACATAGCGGCCCCGGGGCAGTACTGTTTCATGATCCCCAATACCTCAGCGTAAGTCTTTGCTGCGAACAAATCATCGCAGTAGTTATGGATGCTATCGGAAACATCACTGTTGGTGGGGAATACGCCATTACTCAAAGCTACTCGAGCCGCCTCATATTGGACATGGAAAGGCAGGGTGTGTAGGGGATGCTCGATATCCCTCAACGGCTCGTTTGCACTCCCTTGGTTCAGTGCCTCCTCCCGTCCTGGTGGAAGGAGACCTCCACGAATTAGTAAGCAAGATGGAAATTCATCGAGTGACAAGATATGACGGATATAGACGGCTGGGTATGGGGGGAAACTTACTCAACATCTCCGCCTCAAAAGCAGCATCCACCCTGAACTCGGGATCTTCATCATCTATCGCTCCTCCCCCGCCTGGACCCTCCCCACAAACTTTACCCCCTTCATAGCTTTGCTCACTCGGACCTGGACTGGGTCGTTGCGGGGTACCAGGAATCACCTGCCGAGATGCCTCAGGCCAACTACCACCCTTATCACTCACTCCATCAGGGGATTGTTCTGCCTCATGTTGTGCTGCGAAGTCCCAATGAACGTTTCCAGTCTCCTCCGCAGCCCGTAGCAATTCCGGCCCCAATGGCTTCTCGTCAAAGAACCCAACCAGCTCGGCCCTTTCCCGCTCTTCTCGTTCGCCGGTTTCCGAAGCTACGACGGATTGCGGAACAGGGGATAAGGGCGTGTGCTTAAAGCTTTCCGCCTGCCGAAGTGCTGCAGACTTCTGCTTCCTACGCGACGTTCGCGCTTGAGGCCTTGGTATAATCATTTCCTGCGGATAGAAACATTCGTCTTCCTCGGGTTCGTCGACATCTGTCCGGTCGTCTTCCGTCGCATTATCAGTTCTATGGCCCTGTGGATCGTACTGATCGGTGTCACTACGATATAGGATCGGCTTTTCCTTGCCGTCGCGGAAGCTGTCGTCACCGGTTATATCCGTCTGAAAAGTACTATTTTTCGGAGAAGAGAAGCTCCCTGCCGTGATGGACCTCGTAAAAACGCTCGACACAAACGAGCTTGGTGCCGAGCTACTGGCGGCACTGAGTGAGTGGTGGAATGGGTCACCATAACTACCCGAAGCATGCGAGTAGCCACTCCCATGTACCGGTTTGACAGGTACGCGTATCTCCTTTCTTCGCCTCTGGCCGAGCAATATCGGGCGCCTTTCATGGTCCTTTGAGCTAGAAACTCTGATGCTAGATACGCCGTATTCATCTTCGAGTTCTGTGGACACAGCTTTGCGCTCCCACTTGGGTTCGGCCACTGACGAACTCGCTGAGTGGAAGGTGTCATCCGAGTCCGACTCAGTGTCATTGTCCTCGTAACCAGCTACAAGCTGAGCCGGCCTTTGAACGGTATGAAACGGCGGTTCCGGTTGCCTGTCCCTCTTCCTCCACGATGGTTCTTGTACCCCCTGACGCGGGTCTCCCAGGTCCTCCCCTACCAATCGACGGGGCAACAGAGCTCGTGTCCCGCCGAACCTCCTTTCCTGCTCCTCTTGCCGTAGCCGCTCTCGTTCCTCCTTCCGTATCGTCTGTCGCGGGCGATGCTTATATCCTTCTCCTTCCTCCTCTTCACGTTTCTCCCACCCCCAGCGCGGAGCTTCTTGTTCATTCCCCGCCACCTCCATCTCATACCTGTGTTGAGCTAGTCCGGCCCGCTGCATTTTTTTCGGTTTTGCCAGCTCGTACTGGCTTTTCCGATTCCTTGGCCGCTCGGGAGAGCGCTGTTCCCCCCCCGTGATCATTTCCATCGGTGACAGGATTTTTCGCTGTCTCCGTCGCTGGCTAGACCCCTCGCGCGGCATGTCCTGTACCATGTTCGTGTTCTTTCGTTCTCTGGATGCCGCCAGTGACTCCATCGAGATTACCTCTTCGCATCTATTCTTCCCTCGCCCCTTGAAGACGATATCCTCCCTGTTCCGGTTAGACCCGAGATTCAATGTCGCGAAATCCTGGGTAACCTTCTGCGCTTCATACCTCTCATTGCATGGCCAAGTCTTTGGTTCCTCCTTGGGACAATCGCCGGAGCCAATGCCAAACAGACCGACGACCGATTCGTCTCTGTCCCGGAACTCTGCCAGCTTCTCGTCCAAGATGGACTCGTAAGCTTTCTCTAACTCGACTCTGACATCGACACCAGGCTTCCGGTCCTTAGGTATCCCTCGCTTCTTTACGACCTGCCCAAGAAGGTGAAAGGAGTCGTCGACCTCCTTCAACGAAAACTCAAGCAGAGCATCTAACTTTTGCACCCATGGACTAGTTACTGGGCCGCTGGAACGGGTACCGCTCCAGTTCGGCCGGGGTTGTTTAGGATGGGTATGGAACCCGTACACTCTGTTCAATTTATGCAGTCTTCTGCCCAGCTCAGTGTCGTTGGACTCCTCTCGAGGGTTCATTCGGACCGTTGCCAATGGCCCCCTCGATGTGGTTGCGGGCGCAAGCTGGGCCTTGGGGGAGGTCATTGAAAAAGTGGTGATAGTTTATTAAGAATATTAAAGGAACGCCTTTCTCGGTCAGTGAATAAAGCACGGGCGGGGTGCTGGCGGTAAAACATGATGGGGGTATCAAGGTATTTTATATATAGTTCAAACTGTCGGCCTGAAAAGTAGGGAGCACTCACACCAATACGAGAGAAATGGGAGAGGGATGGGGGGGCAGGATAAAGGGAAATGTACAGAGAAAACTAGGAATGGGAAATAGGAGGAAATAGGAATCCAGAGACGCTCACTCACATAAACGCTATTGGCAGCAACTTGCAGGAGGAAAAATACAAGGCTTTCAGTAAGTTATTTCAGGCTACTATTTGTATTACCGGAAGTTGGTATAAAAAAATAAGAATAAAAATAAAAATAAAATAAAAAATCTGTTTTTAAACAAACTAAACAATCAAACGACTGGTGGCATGATACCATAGCCAGGGAACAGAGGCGACAAGAATTAGAGGGGGGGTTCTGAATGAATTGGAAAGAGTGGGGGTGGGAGGGGGGTGGTAGGTTGTACGGCATAGTATAATTAGAGAATAGCAGGAAATAATTGAGATGTGCGGGCCGATGCGTCTCTTTTTCTACTCGACCGATAAAAGATTCCCAGGAGAACGCGTTTTCCCCTCTCCTCCTACTCCTCCTCGAACACTCACCTCCATCCTTCCTCTCTCCCACTTGTTCGGGGGGAGGGATATGTCATACATCTCTATCCCCCCCGGTGAGCAAAGAACGGTTCAATTCGCTTCAACCCGCTCACACCCCTTCCCTCTTCTCTCCGCCCCCATGCCTCCTTTCCCCTCCCCTCCCTTCCGTGCACTTTTGTGCTTCTAAACAAGGATCATTCATTATCTGCCCCCCCCCCTTCCCCCCCCTACTCATACTACCGGTATTACCTTTTCGCCAGCAAAGCCACTTTTGGGCAGACCACCGGCACCGGTACGATGCTCGAGCACAGATTACGGTACAGTATGGTAAAAAGTATGGTACTCGTACAGTACCGCCACTACGATCGTACGAGTAGATTAAATACTGTACCGCCTAAACTAAGCGGCAGTCACACGCAATTTCACTGGAGGAACGCCCAAAGGGGTTATTTGTTTACAACATTTGCTATCCCCTTCCTCTCCTCGAACGATTAACCAACTTCCTCCCCCCGCATAAAGTGGTAACAGGAGGGAGCTCAAGGAACGCGTTGAATGGTTTTCCTTGTCGCGTCATTCGTGTATGCGGTACTGGTATCTTGGGCGAAGTCATCTTCAAACTTCGCTAACACCCACCCCTCCATTTTCCACCAAAAATGGTTGAGAGACTTAAGGAAATTAATTACATTGTGTAGGGAACTACACAGAATCTCTGCATAAAAATTATGTCAATTTTTCCACTCCACCTTGAGTATTGAGAGATGTGTGGCTAGATTGCATGCTGTTGCAATGTATCATACCTTTTACATGGGAAACTCATAAAATATTACAAGTATCTTTTGTTCACAATTGTTATTTCTTGTACTACACTATGCCTATGAACTAATAAAGCTTGTTTATCACATATGAATAGTGATATCTGAATGGCTCACAAGGTTTCAGCAAAATTTTAAGGAAGTATTTGACAAACATGATTTGGATTTGAAATCATGATTTGAAATCATGATTTGAAATCATTGAGTGTTAGGTAATGTGATTTGAAATCATGATTTAAGAATATAGTTAATCTAAGATTTGTAAATGTGATTTGGATAATTGATATTGAGTATTACATATATATTAATAATGTAGACAAGTTAAATTTCTTTTGTCTATTCAGAGAATTGATAAATAGTTAAAAAGATGAAGTGATTTTATAGTTGTTTTATAGGAAAAGAATAATAAAAGAAGCTAATTAGTAATAAGAGGAAAATTGAAATAAAGAGTCTATAATCCTCCTTTACTCATATAGACTTTTACACTAATAGCTTAGTAATTATTACTTAATCTCTCTTTATCCTTATTTGAAATAGAATATATTATATATTAAAAACATAACAGTAATATACAAATAACATTATGAAAAAGCTAGGTTGATTTGTGAAATCATGATTCAGTCAGGAGATGTGTGGCAGCTTGTATTTTCAAATTGTAATTTTGAAAACGGTAAAGGTCTCATCTCCCATTAATGTTTGCAAAAATCCTCTCAAATACCACAGTACCCTCGGGAATATATTATGTAAGTTTTTTTAATAGTTAATTAATTAATTTTTAAAATTTTAATGTAAAGAAAATTTTTATATTGTATATAATTCAGAGAATGAAAAATGTAAGTACAGAATTGAGAATTAAATTAGCAAGAAGAAATTTACTAGCCATGTGAGCGGCGACAAGTCACTGAATTGTGTCCAATTCCCCCACATGTTGAGCATTTTTGTCTAGGACATACAGGCTCATCCGGTAAAATACCTAATTGATTGGCAATCAGTTGTCTTTGTTGAACTTCACCAACTCGAATGCGCTCTTTTCTGAGTCTTCCACAGGGCTTTCGAGTAATAGGCGGCTCCACATGTGGAGCAATAGGAATGATTCCCTCGTGGGGTACAGCTGGTATTCCATTTCCTTCATTATTCGTAATATCGACAGAAAGGAAGTTGTCCTCGTAAATCAATTTTCAGGTAGCAATGGAAAAGCTATTAGGGAGGTAGTTTTGGACAGGCTGCCATGATGTCAGTGATAACAAGATAAAGTATAAAAGTGCAAGACAAACCTGGTCGATAGTCAAGATACAAGTTAAAGCATGTCCACACGGAATGCCATTCTCCTGATAGTTAGAGCAAGAGCAAGTTCAATGGCCAAGGTCCACAAGTTTCACAGCTCCATTTGGCTGGGTAATATGTCTGTGATATTCATCTGCCATCAGATCAATATTTTATTTTGTCCACACCCTGCTTTGACCTAACAGTTGAGTACAGAATTTGGTATACATTATGGTAGGACTAGTCGCAGTGGCCTCTCTATATCATTCAAAGTGTTGACCCATAAGCTTATGCCAAATTGCGTTTAGTAACTCTACAATAGATAGCTCACGATCAAGCTTCAGAGTACTGTTAACTTACTTGACAATATTGGTAGTATCGTGGCCAAACCGCTTTCCCGGAAAGAAGGCCTTTGCCTAAAGTGTTGGATCAGCATTGCGCAAGTACTGCTCAGCCGTCGGCTTGACTTCCTGGACCTTCACCATTGCTGCTTCAAATAATTCAATACTTGGTGCCCTTACAACCGCCCAAAAGAGGTTGGATAAGCCTTTTCCATAGGCAGTTACAAGGTTCTCCTTGAGGTGCTGGCAGCAATAAGCTCGGATAATAGTAGCTGGTAGGTTCTCGGAGGCCCTCACCAAACCTTTATCACCGTCGCTCATGAGTATCACTTCCTCACTACTCATTTCTGGAATCGCCTGTAGGAGATTTGACAGAAAATACTCCCAAGAGGAAGCATTCTCAGTTTCCACAATCAACCAAGTAAGCAATAATGTCTTTCCATTTGCATCAACCGTTACGGCAAGTAGGAGAGTTTGCACAAACTTCGTTTTTAAGAAGGTTCCAACTGCAGCAATAAAGCGACAGCACAAGCGAAAAGAGTTCCGTGACTGGGAAGGACATATAAAGATTCTCCGAAATTGATGAGTGGCGTCCTCTGATGATAGGTGGATATATGTATTTGGATTTGCTTGTAAGACAGAGATAACATATTGAGGAAGCTGACGGAATCCCTCTCGTTGACCTTCAAGTGTATCATCTAGTAGATGACTCTTTAATCTAGATGCTCCTTTGTATAACAAGGTCTCTCCAAACTGGATACACAAATATTCGATAATTTCCCTAGGCTTAGTGGCTTGTGTAACATTTATATATCTAGGTATATGGTTTTGCAGCCAGGCTTGGGTACCAGATATACAAGTTCTTTTTTCATGATTGCCTGGAAGACATGTATGCTCAGTCACTAGAATGCCAATTTTAACATCCTCTTGGTTTGTATAGTGTGCTCTCACTTGCCACTGGCAGCCTTCAGTAGCACAAACATAGATAGCTCTTGTACTATCACGATCAAGAACTCTAAAGCTGAACTTTTCTTTAACTGACCAATCCTCAATGGCTTCTCGTACTTTCGTAAAGTTGGGAAAAAGTTGTCCCAGTGCCTGTGCACTAGGGAGTTGAGAGAGAGCAGACAAAATAGATAAGACTCCAAGTCTCAGAAATAGAACTAAAGAAAGACCAGCCAACGAGAGTGGAGACCGAGAAGTTAGAGAGCCAGAAGCCAGAGAGCCAGAAGCCAGAAAGCAAGGTGCTAGAGAGTGAGGAGCCAGAGAGCAAGGTGCCAAAGAGTGAGGAGTCAAAGAGTGTGGCGCCAGAGAGCAAGGAGCCAGAGAGAGAGGAGCCGGAGAACGAGGAGTTGGAGAGCTAGGAGCCGGAGTGCGAGGAGTCGGAGAGCTAGGAGCTGGAGTGCGAGGAGCCAGAGAGTGAAGAGCTGGAGAGCCAAGAGATGCAGAGAGAATGAAGTAGAGAGACAAAGGCTAGAAAGAGTGGAGAGCCCAAGGACAGGAAGAGCGAAAAACAAAATGCCTGAACAAGCCAGGAAAAGCCAAGAGAGACACAAAAGGTGGGAAGGCCACAGAGCAGAGAGCCGAAGGAGATGTCCAGAGAGGGAAGCTCTGAGAGGGAATACCAAAGGCTGGAGACCAAAGACCAGAGAGAGAGAAGACTAGTGAGTGACGAGAGCAGAGCAAAAACTCAAGGTGGGAGAGCCAGAGCCAGAAGGGAAGAGCTAGGAGCAGAGAGAGACGGGCAAAGAGAGGTGAGCAAAGAGAGGCGAGCGATGAGCTGAGAGTGAAGCCTGAAGAGGAATGGACAGAGTACAGGACAAAGACCAGGAAGAGCAAGAAGTCTCAGGAGAGGAAGAGGAAAGAGCAAAACGCCAGAGCAACCGGAGAAGAGCTAAAGGAAAAGCGAAAAAAGCGAA